GGCAGAGTTCCCCAAAATTTTTGGCTTTGCAGACTGGCGGGGAGAGGGGATGGATCTGTGTGAGTGGCAGGCAAGTATGTGTGCGCAGTTCCATTTGCGTGAGTGGCAGGCATGTGTGCCCATCGCTCATGCAAATGCAGCATGCATGCACCTGCTTGCACATGGCTCACGCGAGTGGGGATGGGCACGTGCACGTTTGCCCACCATTTCCGCAGGCCGGTTCCAAAAGACTTAAGGTCCAGTAATGGGCTGCAGCCCGGGGGTTGGGCACTCCTGCTCTCAGGCTATGCAAGGACAATGCAGTAAGAGAAACATGTTCTCAAAAAGATGTCTTACATTTAAAGCAATGCAACATACCATGTTTTCCCGAAAGTAAGGCCTACCCCAAAAATAAGCCCTAGCTTAATTTGGGGGGCCCTAATATAAGCCGTACTCCCAAAATAAGCCCTAGTTTTGGGGCGAGGCACACACCTAAAAATCAAGCTAGGGTGGGGGTGGGGTGTGGATTGGCCCCACGCGCCCCGCATCCACTTATCTTGCAGCCAGGCCTCTCCTCACTGGCCCACTTTTTCTAGGCGTCTTCTGCAGCCAGGCCTGCATTTCTTAGTCACAGGCCTTTCTGGAAGGCCTGTGCAGCCAAGAATCAAGCTATGAATTCAATAAGGCTTGATTGCAAAATTCAGGCCTGAATGCAGCTGCAGAATGAAAATGCTCCTTCAGCCCCAGAAGAAGTGGACCAGTTAGGCGGGGTTTTCGGTGCCGGAGGTAAGACATCCCCCCAAAATAAGACCTGGTGTCTCTTTTGGAGGCACAAAAAAAAAAAAAAGAAATAAGACCCGGTCTTATTTTTGGGAAAACATGGTATATGTCATGTGCACTTACAATTCCCTTTCCCTTCCAACTCTGGATGGTTCCATGGCTTTATTATCCACTCATCTTTGAGTTGGCAGAACATTACATTGGTCTAAAATTTGTTACTGCTGCTGCTGCTCTCTCTCCTGCCTTCACTGCAGCTGTTCCTAGTCATTTCCAGCCCCTTGACTTCATCCCAAGATAATAGATCAGAAAGCCAAATAGATTTTATACATCTTGAGCCTGCCCTTGGATGGTGATGGAATAAGAGGGAAAATACCATTTAAAAACTGGGCTTTTGGACTCCTAGAAACCATTATAGTTTTCCATAATGATCTATTTCTAACTTGGTCTTTCAGGTCTTCTAACATTGCCATAGTAAATGAATCGATCCATCTTGCTGCTGATTGTCGTCTTCTCTTTCCTTCTACCTTTCCAGCTTTAGAATCTTTTTCTAGAGAGCGATGTGAATTTAAGATTGCCTCAGTAATGGGTTGGAGAGGGGCATAATAAAGCATGACAACAGCCATAAACAGAGCAATATAATAGCAACATTTTGAACATAAATTAGTTTTCAGGTTTAGAAAAAAAATGAGTCTGTTCAACAGACTTTCATCAGTTAAGCATAAAAAAAATTTAAACATATAGTCTGCAGAGTAATTGGTGCATGAAACTTTTTTCTGAAACTGAAATCTGCTCTCCTGACCAATGATGTTTAGTCAAGATATGGGAACTATGCACTTTCTAAAAAAAGGTAAATGTTTTGATTTGAAAAATTAAACACAGTTTTAATTGTGGAGGTCTTAATGCTCTTTGAGCTTGGTGGTTTGTTTGCAGATGTTTCATTACTCAACTAAGTAACTTCCTTAGTGCAAGTGTGTATGAGTTTGCTTCCTGCTTACATACAGTGGCAAATTAGAAATGCAAGCCTATTGAAAAAACAACCCGCAGTAGCCAAGTTCTCCATTACCAAAGTAACAACTTAGCCTCCCATAAGAGAGCTATGTAAGAACATTATTAAGATGAATACAAACACATTGCAGCCACCCAGAACACCAGAAAAAGGAAACTCATTGCCTATACATCTTTCAGCTAAATAGATGTCCAACCTAAGTGCCTGACCATTGAAACATCTACAGCACAGCCAACCCAAGCTATGAAAAGGATAACACTACCATACATCAAAAACATCTCAAAAATTATGAACACGCATCATTACTGTAGCATACAAACATTGTGAAGCCCTCCAAAAGCCCAGTGTTGCTCCAAACATGGAGATGGATGGAATATAAATGTAATAATGAGAGACCAAACTGGCCTGCAAAAAAGACCAGGAAGAACAGAAAAGAGACATGGCAAGACAAATATTACATGGTCAGTATGTAAAAAAGTAGGAGCCAAAACAGATAGTAACAAGACTTCATTAAGAGCAGGAAAATTGAAGGAAGAAACAGAGGGGTTACCTCTGGCTGCACAAGACCAAACTTTAAGAAGAAATGCATACAAAGCCAGAATTGAGAAGACAGAAAAGACAGCAAATGCCACCATTGCACAGTATCTGAAGAAACAGTGGACTACCTAGTGAACGGCTGCAAAAAGAGTGCCCATAATACTGTAGAACTGACTACAAGCAACAGTATGACAAAGTAGCAACATGGAAGTTCTGCAAGAAGTACAATTCGATACAAACAAGAACTGGAAGGATCATAAAATAGACAAAATAATAGAAAAAGAAGAAGCTAATGGGAATTTAGAATCAAACAGACAAGCACCTGCGACATAACACTACAGACTTAACAATTGTTGGTAAGAAAGACAAAAAAGTCTGGATATTGGACATAGCAATACCCAGAGACAGCCGAATAGAAGAGAAAGAACTGGAGATGATAACAACATACAAAGGGCCTGCAAACAGAAATAGAATGATTGTGGCAAGAGAAACTAAGTTAATACCAATAATAATAATAATGCAATCACTTTGGTGCAATCACAAAACATTTGGAGCATCTCTTGAACCCCATTGGCACTGACAAAATCACCAACAATTGCAAAAAGCAGCTTTCCTTGGAACAGCTTGCATACTGCAAAGATATTTTTAATACCAACAAACAACATCTGCCTATTCCAAGTCCTTGGGAAGGACTTGATAAGTAGATAAAAAGTGCCAAATTCAGTCTAAACTTCTGGCTGGCTATGCAATAAGCCATAACAAAATAAGCAAACCAAAAGATTCAGTAGTTCAAGAAGAAAAAACAAGAATTATCTACAGCAGTGGTTCTCAACCTGTGGGTCGGGACCCCATTTGGGGTCGATCGACCATTTTATGGGGGTCGCCAAGCAAGGCTGTCCGCCATTTTTTTTGTCCGCCATTTTTTCCCCCTTTTCCGGCGGGTGCCTTACCTCCCTTGGGCTGGGCCAGCTGGTGGTCGGCCTGCTCCGTCTCTGCCGCTTGCCAGCTACGCCTCGGCCGGCGCAGGGGGCGGAACCATGCATGCGTGGCACTCCCGGGCAGGGAAAGTCCTCGACTTACGACCGGTTTAGTCCTCGACTTACGACCGGTTTAGTCCTCGACTTACGACCGGTTGGGGTCGCGGCATTAAAAAGGTTGAGAACCACTGATCTACAGTATACTGTGTAAGGACTGTAACGACCACTATGTAGGACCAACAGACAGAAGGCTAGCAGATCACATCCATGAACACCAACTAACTAACAGTCAGAAGACACGATGAAAACTCCTTAATCTCACAACTAAGGACAAATTCAACTGCAAAAATGCAAGAATTCTAGATCAAGTTAAATCCAAAAATGCTAGAGAATTCCTAGAAGTTTGACATTCAGACAAGTCAGCTATCAATTGACACATAGAAATAAACCATAGTTACACACAGTTCAAAAATGGCAATTAAAAAATTAAGAGGTAAACAAAAAGACCAGAATACTTCATCTCTAGCAGCCAATACCCAGAGAAGCAGGGATTAACACCAGGGAAACAACCAAGCAGAAAACAAAAACAAGATCAAGGAACTAGCAAGGAAAAAACAACCCCCACCAATACTGGCAAGCCAAGCTGCTGTATATAAAGAGGAAGCAAAACTCACACTCATTAATACAAGTATGAGTCCTTGACTTACAACCACAACTGAGCCCAACATTTCTCTTGCTAAGCAAGACAGTTAAGTGAATTTTATGACCTTTCTTGCCACAGTTAAGGGACTCACTGCAGCTGTTAAGTTAGCAACGTGGATGTTAAATTAAACCGGCTTCCCCATTGACTTTGATTGTCAGAAGGTTGCAAAGGTGATTGTATGACCCTGGGATACAGCAACTGTCATAAATATGTGTCACTAAGCATCTGAATTTTGATCACATGACTATGCAACGATTGTAAGTGTGAAAAGTGGTCATAAGTTACTTTTTTCAATGCCGTTATAACTTTGAATGGTCACTAAACAAACTGTTGTAAGCTGAGGACTACTTGAACAGATGAAGTTACTGAGTAGGGTAATGAAACATCTGCAAGCAAATAATCAAGGACTCCACAGTTCAACTCTGAGATACATATATTCTCTTTTATTGGAGTTTGTGTCTTTCATTCTCAGTTTTACGTAAATCCATTTATTTGTATATGCAGCTAGTGGGAATGAATTCCCTAATGGAATCTTTGCATTTGTGTCTAATTTATTATTGATTCTTTCCATTCATATACAGTAATGTAGATTTCTCATTTTAGGCCACTGCCTGGAAAAACAGGTAACTCTTGCGAGCAACTTCAATCTAGCAAAAGTGTAGGCGTAAGATGGAAAGAAACATAGTTGAGACTATCAGTCAATATCATAATATTAATATCATACATATTAATCATACCTTCATAGTCTTTCAAACAAACAGTTGTATACTGAATGAAGATTCATTGTTCCCCTGCAAAGGCTCACTAGCTGTTATTTGCCATATGTTTGATTTCATGATGCGCCGATTACAAAAGGTAATCTGGGTTTGTAAATGTGCTAAATGTCATATACTTTAGCACAAATACAAGATTAAGCGGTCCAAATGGGAATGTGCGTCACTGCCCGTGAATGCTTGCCATTTATTGTAAAAGCCATAGAGTACGCATGTCGTTTTTTAGGCTGGGTCATTATAGATTTTCAGGTTGATTTCAGATTTTCTAATTCATCGCAGGATGAATAAATTTCATTATAGACTTGGATGGAGGAATACTTGACTGGTGGAGGAGGTGGCTTGAAAGACGGAGGTTTATTCATACTACAATGAAAATAATCCTGTTTAAAATGTGCAGCAAATGAACATACACAATAAGCAATCAGAATAGTTAGATAGAATTAAGAAGTAAAACATAATTAGGCACAAAAATACGTCCATCCTGCCATTAATTTACATTGAAGCAGGGACCTAATATACCTTCTCAATGAAAGGTGAACTATTAAAATCAGTAATATTGCTAAGATATCTGTATTTCTTTTTGTTCCTTCGAGTAATACCAAATCAATGTATAAATAAAGCCACCAGCTTGATTTGTGATAATGAAATCGTGAGGTAAACCGAGAAAAAAGTCTTACAGTAATAATATGTTCAGTTGCCCTGACATACATATTTTTTAAATATTATAGATATGCCATTCTTTAATGTAGCTTAATATGTATGTAGCTTAATATGAATTATATTTTAATAATGTTTACTCTCATGCTGATAATTAATATTATATGGATCTTATTGTGTGTTTTTTATTTATTTCAATGACTATAAGGTATGTAGATTTTTTAGTGGGCAATTACTGCCATATTTTGTTGTCATAGTAACTGTTATATCTTATTAATAACTTTTTAAAAAATACAAAAAACCTGTTGATTTACTTCATTCCAATTAAAAAGAAATCTTTTTGCAATTAATCTCACTGCTTTGTATAGGAGCAAATTCACAACAATACACAAAATTAATTAAAGTAGTGATACAGTGTACTTACATTTCTCTTTGATGCTGACACCATTTTCTGATCCCACAAATGATTAAGCATGTGCAGAAAAAAAGCAAAAATGCCACAACTATTGACCATGGAAATGTACTGTGTTTTGGAACCACTGTAGAACCTGGAAAGGGTACAGTGCCAAAATTATTATAACAAAAACCATAAGCAAGCTTTGAACAGTTATTCTTGCTACATTTCTAAATTATGAGTGTTTTTTTATTTGTTTTTGACTATCACATCCAAACAAATTATCCAAAGCAGTTGACTATAGAGGAGCCAACATTAGACAGGATCCAGAAGCCATCTTAGTGACAGATACTGTGAGGCAGACTCTGGGTGTTGGGAAAGATGGCAGGATGCCATGCAACCTGCCTTGTGCTCTCTGTGCTGCTTGCAGTCTTTAAGAACCGAGGAGAAGTTTTCAACTAATGCCTTATCCTGGTACTGTTAATATCCAGCTTAGCAGCATAACGTATGATCTATTTTCCAATTAGTTATCCTATTGCACTTCATATGTCTTACAATAATATATTGTGGCTTATGCTACTTCAATGGTAGGAGACGTGATATTAAAAAAACACAACTTTTATTTGCAGTTTTGCAACACTGTGTGGCATTGGATGGCATTTATAGGGGCAAGAATTATATTCATTTCCATTTGCAATTCAAGCAACACTAGGACTAAAATACTGACACAAGATGAATTAGAAACAAAGAGGCACTTAGAATTTGCTCTCATTCTAAAATGAGCATAAATCTATACAGGTAGTCCTTGTTTAGCAACCACAATTAAACAACTTTGTCAAAAAGTGAAGCAGTCACACGTGAAATCATGACTCTGCTTATGATCTTGCTTCACCTTTCCTTGGCTTTAGAGATTTGCAAATCACATACATGTGAGGATTGGTCACAAAGTGGCCTTTTCGTCACCATTATAACTGTGAATGGTTGTTAAGTGACACAGTCGCTAAATAAGGACTATTTGTTATTCGTGCAGCTTTTGAAATAATCTCTGGAAGTACAGCCCATCTATCTTGCCCCCTTCTTAGGGACTGAGTCAATGGCTTAGATGTGAAAACACTTTCCAAGCATGAAAGTGTCTAAGCTGTGCACTGCTATGTAGCAGTATAGCCTGACAATCTTGCAATGATCCTAGCAAGGATTAACACATCAGCTTCCCCCGGCAACTGTAAATTCTCTCAGTAATTCTGCTCAGAGTATGGGCAACCACATCTTCAGCTTTCCAGTGTTTCTCAACCTTGACAATTTTAAGGCATGTGGACTTCAACTCCCAGAATTCCACAGCCAGCAATGCTGGCTGTGGAATTTTGGGAGTTGAAGTCCACATGCCTTAAAATTGTCAAGGTTGAGAAACACTGGAGGTACAGGTAGGATAATATATGTCAGAGCTCCTGCGAAACAAATCTTTTCAGTCTTGATTATGACTGGGAAATTGTGGGGAAATTGATTAATGTACAGCACGTCCCTTCCCTCAGCTCCCTCCCTATAGAGCAGTCTTGCCAAAACCAGCTGCAGCAACCTTTTTGCCCCCCCCTCCTCCTCCTTTCACGGAGACTCCTTTACAACTGAAGCAATAACTTACCAGTATCAAGGCCATTCTTTATAGTATATGAATTAGCAGGACTATTTATTGTGGTTACTTCAATCACTGTTCCGATGGGCAGATTTCCTTAAAAAAAGATAAGCATATATTCTTTATGATTTTAGCCAGTTTACCAGTATTGTTACAGTAGTAATGATTACCATACATCTGGCTGATTGTGCAGCCAAGCATAATAGAGGATGAGCTATTACAGTTGGTTGCACAGTCAGCCAGTGTTTAGATTGAATTTGACATTTTTATCCACCTATCGAGTCTTTCCTAAGGACCTAGGATAGGCAGTTTGTTGTTTGTTGTTACATGTAGTGTTGCAGGATGTAAGCTGTTCCAAGTAAAGCTGCCTTTTGCAATTGAGTGATGATGATTTTGTCAATGCTGATGGTGTTTTGCTTGTTTCTGCCACAACTGTTCTACTTCAGTGTGCAGATCTTTATGTTTTGTGATTTTTCACCACTTTGCTCTTTTCTATTTTGCTGCCTTCACGTATTGCCAATTCCACTATCCAAACTATTTTGTCTTTCTTATTGACAATCCTTTAGTCTGGGGTGTTACGTAGCAGCTGCTTGTCTGTTTGAAGTCTAAATTACCAGAGCATGTTCTTTTTCTGTTTTATTGCAAGAGTCTGTGAACATCACTGCATAGATGACCGGCATGATTTATTGTCATTATTTTTCTGATCTTCATATTTAGGTCTTTTAATTCTAACGACCGAAATTTCTCAGGTATTAATTGCCAAATTCCTCCACCAAATTTGGGCTTTAAGATCTTCTTAATTCTCATGATATATTCTCTTGTGATCCTTCCTCTTGACTTCAATGTGCCTGATGTTGTCAGCTTGAAAGATGCCCACATATTTGTAGCAATCATCTTCATTCAGATTCTTGATATTATTGCCTAAGGATCTTGATTTCTTGAGTTTTCACTATTTCCCCCCTATTATTGATAAGGGTGGGACATTTGTCAAGTTCAAACTCCATTGCAATATCCCAGAGGTCTTCAAACTTGGCCCTTTTATGACTTGTGGACTTCAACTCCCAGAATTCCTCAGCCAGGCACGCCAAGTTTGAAAACCCCTGCAAAATCCTGACTGTATCTACAGACAGTATTGAGCAGCTGATGGTGTTTTCCTATACAGCTTCAGCTCGTCCATATAAAGGAGGTATGATATCTATAGCCTGAATTGTTCACGAATGTTGACAGAGGAATCAGTGCAATGACAAACCAAATTAATTGCCCCTGCTCAATTAATTTCTTTCTTGCTGGTGTTTATATCTGATATTACAACATTGGCATCTTTTAATATTTGTGCTAGCAGTTTCTTTGAATAAACTTCAATTCAGGCAATGTTACTCGGCTGTTTTTGTATTGTTCTAAATGCTCCGTTATTCTTTATTTCAATTCTTATGTTTTAGTTGAGGGGGGTGTCTTCGTTCTTTCTGTGGCAAAGTTTGAGGAGAGGGCGCCTTACATCCTTGTATCCTCAGTCTCCCAGTATTTTCACTTGCAAATCTGAAGAGGCAGCTATACAGGTAAAGTGTAAGGCAATCATTTCTTCTTCAAGTCAACCATGCCTTAGGTAATTTCATGGATTGGTTTGTGTTGTTGTCTTGGTAATAATCCTTAAAGAGTTTGCAAAATTGCAAAATTCTTTCAGAATTTTAGGAAGAAATCGGTTCTATGGCCTCTTTTCTAGAACCAATCCTACTTAGCCTTCCCAACTCAAGCAAGATGGATTAGGTGTAGCAGCATTGTGGCATTTTTGTGTCTCAATATGTTATTGATCATTCATGAAATAGGTTGCATGACTTTGCACAGATCAGATCTGAGCTGATCCCCCCCCCTCTCTCTCCCTCCCTCCCTCCCTCCCCCCCCTCTCTCTCATTGACTCTTCTAAATTATTTATCCTGACTTAAGGAACCTAATTTTACATATAATTACAATGTAGACAATATTTCCTAATTTATAAAGTTATGTAAAATCATGTTAATATTTCACAGCGTCCACTTACGTTGTGATGGCATGGAGTTCTCATGGAAGTGAGTCACAGTGGCAGCATTTTGGTGGGTTGTTACCCTGGAATTCTTCAGTCCTTTGTCAAGATAATGACATTAGATCATGACAATTTAACCAGAGTGATATTGATTAGAAAGGATATTTACACCTTAGATTTTATTTAAAGATAACCTGAAATAAATTAAGACAACCCCTGCTCAAGCACACATATGAGAAGCAGAGGGGGGAAAAAATACTTTGGGTTGTAGTACATTATTACATTTGGGCTGTAAAAATCCAGTGATCATTAGATGGCAGCAAAGAGACAGAACATTCTACTGTACCTTTTTGTTGTGATCTAAAGGTGGTCTGGATTTCACCCAGGTCTAGTAGTTGTACTTAAGAACTAGTTAACAACTGCATAGTTGTTAATTGGTGTCTGCAACTTCACATCATCAGTTGTACATATAAAATCATCATCCAGATTTATACATATCATAGACTTCATTATCCAATTTGATTCTCGTAAAATTAAAGAACTGTGAGCCTTCGATGGACATTAACTTTTCAGCATTTCAGCAGGATTTTTTCTTTTGTTTTAGGAAATGCCAGACACTGAACCCAAGATATTTTGCATGGTAACACATGGTATTTTCAGTAAAACCTTCAATAATGATTGTAGTTTTTCAGCAGACACATAGTAGTGTAATAATTTGGAAGTATACACTTGTTTTTTTTGCATGTGTGCAGATACTAGAATCAATGAAACTTCTTAGTTTTCGTTAAAATCTTTTTTCTGTAATGAAATATATTTTATTTGTATTCCAAACTCTCAGGTGTCTTTTGCTTTCTTGATGATTCCAGGGCTTACAGAGGATAAGAAACGTACACAATTTACAGTATCCACATTGAGCCTTATACACTTCCCTTCCAAAGTAAAATAATTAGTTATCCTCTAAACATGGAACTTCTACCTTTTGCTCCAGGAGACAGTGGTAGTAATGTAATTCCTTTACACCAGGGGTAGGCAACCTTGGCTCTTTTATGACTCGTGGACTTCAACTCCCAGAATTCCTGAGCCAGCCACGCTGGCTCAGGAATTCTGGGAGTTGAAGTCCACGAGTCATAAAAGAGCCAAGGTTGCCTACCCCTGCTTTACACTAACACAAGTTGGATAGTGCGGTGGTAAGAATAGGATTCCTATCAGAAATTCAAACAAGAACCTCAAGCTACATCCTACAAGTTTAAGATTCAGAAACATATGTCAAAAGCAGTTTGAAAATGAGTAATAAATATTGCTTTGCTTGATTCTATTTGTGTGTGTGTGTGTTATGCATGTGAGAACAAAGTGACTTGCCACAGGGAATATCTTTTCACAGCTTATAAATCAAGGAAGCCTCTCCAACCTAAACAAGCAGCAGAGCTTTAAAGATGTTCCACATGGGAAACGATCACATTAAGAGGATTGTAATTGTGGGCAGCAGGCATGAAATGTTAGGTCACTGCTTGTACTTTTCTCAATAAGAACTTTTCTTAGCTGCAATAAAAATCAGATTATCTAAGGAAATAGAGCTGTATGCCATGGTCGGTGAAGATTTAGCACTGGGAAGAAAAAGCAGTTTTGTCTCTAGGCTTCCCTGATGCTCTGATGAACCAAGGAGTGACAACTCTCATTATTATTATTCTTGTTGTTGATGATACATATCAAGAACCAACTTTCTTTAAACTGACTTTGTTCCTTAATTACAGATTGGATAACCCAGCTGAACTAGACTCCAATATGTAATTTAGCATTAGTATTAGGTTCCTCCATGCTATGTAGTGTATCAGGCAGCCCAATAGGTAATCCAGGTTCAAAAACTATATTAATTTTAGAAACAAACAAACTGCTTTGATAATATAATGTGAGATCAGATATAGGCATGCCATCAGTTTAACAGTGATATTGATCTCTGTTATTTATTGCAAATGTTGCCTTTCTGCTTCAAGTAAATTGCATTCCAACTAAATCCCCTTGAAGTACATTCTTGTTCTTGTTAATCCAATAACCTGATATTTAACAATATTGCTACGTATGTTTTATTATTGATGCTAAAGAATCCATTGAATGAGAATTTTAAGTACAATATCATAGCCAGTTGGTGTAGTAATTAAGGCACTTGGATAGAAACCAAGAGATCATGAGTTCTAGTCCTGCCTTAGGCATGGAAACTTTGGGCCAGACACGCTTTCTTAGCCCACAATGACAGGCTTGGGTAACAGCCAGTTGGCCAGCTCCTGTTGCAATCAATGGATCAATACTTGGCTGATCCCCCCCCCAAAAGTGAACCCTTCATTTGCAGGAAATACTATAAAAGGAACCTGTAAAGAAATAAATCTAATATTCCATATTATTTGAAAAGGTTTTCCTAATAAGAATAATTTTCCTATATAAAGTGGCTATTTCTACTTTTTTATGTACCTAGGATTTGAAATAAATATGGTTCTGCTTTTCCCACATTGAATACAAACAATTTAAAAAGTGTTTATAACTTACTTTGTGGTATTGTGGACTCACTTTGAGGTACTGTGGACTCACTGAAGAACAACTCTGTAATAGGATCATTTTGCAGGGTTTGGGTAGATTCTGTAGAAGACATATTGTCTTTAAATTCCTTGTTCAATGTGAAGATTTATTTTAGGGCTTTGTCATCTAGATGATGCTAGCAGAGGTAAAACTAAAATGTAGACTTCCTTTGGATAATACAAATTCCACATTATAAATGAAATTCTAAAGGAACACATCTAACATTTCATATTTTCTGGAAAGATTTCCCTGATAGTAATAACTTGAATAATATGAAATTATATAAAATGATATTTCTACTTCTGTATATGGCTAAGCCATAATTATTCCTTTGATTTGAAATAAGTATGGTATTACCTTCCCCATACTGAATACAAATAATTTAGAAAGTGTTATAACTTACTTTGTGGTACTGTGGAGTCACGGAGCAACACAGTAGTAGTACTACTTTGCAGCGTTTTGGTAGAATGCAAGATTTCTGTAGAAGACAAATTGACTTTAAATTCCCTGGTTTGTGAATATTCAATGTTTTGTTGGCTACTGCCATTAGGAGGAGCAAAACTAAAATGCAGACTGCATATTCAGTACTATAAAGAAAATACAAGAGCCAACTTCACATTATTCAGAAAGGCTCTCCTAATAACTCTCACACATAGCAATAGCAATACCACTTAGACTTATATACCACTTCATAGTGCTTTATAGCACTCTCTAAGTGGTTTACAGAGTCAGCACATTGCCCCCAACAATCTGGGATCTCAGAAGGATGGAAGGCTGAGTCAACCTCGAGGTGGGGTGGAGCGAGGATCGAACTGCCGGCAGTCAGTAGAATTAGCCTGCAATACTGCATTCTAACCACTGCATCACCACAGCTCTTGGTGTGGTGAAAGTACATATGAAAGTATATAAAGCTTAATTTTTTAAAAATAAAATCTTTGATAGGTCAGCCACAATGATTGAAATCTATTATGTTTCTACTTTCCACGCCAAACACAAATAATTTAGGAAGTGTTCATCACTTACTTTGTGGTACTGTGGAGTCACTAAATAACTTTGCTGTAGTATCACTTTGCAAGGTTTTAGTAGAATGCAAGTGTTCTGTAGAAGACAAATTGTGTTTAAATTTCTTGTTCACTGGTTTGTTAGCATACCAGAAGATGGCATAAAATTGTATAAAGCTATTTTTTTCTATTTCTTGATAAAGCTTGATATGGTTAATTGGATTTGAAGTCTACAGTATATGGTTCTTATCAAATCAAATCCATATATGTAACATTCTGCACATGCGGGATCAGAAAAATATGGTTAATAAATCTAAACCAATTAAAAATAATAAGACTCTATACATTTTATTTTAATATCCACCGTTAAAAATATATTTTGAATCTTACTGATGTCCTTTATCAGGAGGGTTAATTAAGATCCTTTAAAAAGGTTAATTAAGATCCTTTAAAAATACAGATAGGAGGAGGAGGTTGTTCAGAAGCTTTTTCTCCTTTATTCGTTGTATTAAATCCCATTGTTATGATATGTAGTGATTACCCTACAAGAAAGTTTGAGCCAATGTAAGCAAATGTTCAGGTATATAACTATACTCCAACTGGACCTTGACAGTTCTTAATATAATTTCACGTGTACACAATGGCTCAATTGCAACCCTTCTCCAGCTTTGCAAGAGATTCTCCTCTCCTTCCTCCCCTCCCCTCCCCTCCTCCCCCTACCCATCTTACTCCATCCCACTATTAGAAATATGAGAAAAAATGAGAAAGAAGTGGTGCTTGCTAAATCTGTGACTTGTCTGGAAGGAGGGGAAAAAAGACTACAAAAACAAAAAAAGTTATACTTTCTTTTGAAACCTTGAAAGATATAATAAAACTTGATACAACCATTAATTATTGCATTTTTATTGCTGATTTATAAAAAAAAATGCTGTATAATGATACAAAACTACTTTAGAAGTACTATATTTAGAAAGGTGGAAGGATTATAAAAACAACAGATATAGTCCGTCCTTCCTTCCTTCCTTCCTTCCTTCCTTCCTTCTTTCTTTCTTTCTTTCTTTCTTTCTTTCTTTCTTTCTTTCTTTCTTTCTTTCTTTCTTTCTTTCTTTCTTTCCCTAGAAATACTGTGCTGCTAACATCGGATGTTCTTGCTTTGACAGCTGGCTACATGGTAATATAAAAATGAAAGAAGAAGCATAGTGATGACAGATGACAGATTGTTGTACCTGCCTTCTCTTATATGCAAGTCCTGGAGAAGAGGACCTATGTGAGATAAGTGTTTGTCCCACAGAGTCCAGCAATATAAGGATTGCTCCTTTCTTTATGCACTTTTAAGAGCTTTCACCATAAACAGCAAAGGGTTAGATACTTTCCCCTGAAGCAATAAAACTAACAATAAATGAATAAATGACCTGTAGAGGTCCTGAGACAACAAGATTCACATATGACTGAATGTTTATTGTGGATGTATGTGGGAGAAAAGCAAACATAATATTTATAATGGACTTACTTTCTGAAGAGGAATCTGATACTAGAGTTGCTTTTGAGGCTTCAGAAAGGGTAGTCTGTAACCCTGATTAAAAAAATCATGGCTTGAAATACAGTGAATGAAATAAAAGAGCTTTAACAAACTGCCATAAATGAACTCTGGAAACTCTTTAAACTGCCAAAACAATGACACACATATGACTTTACATCAACATTTTAATGTACAAGTAGTAATATATGTACCTATGTTTTTTATGCCAAATAGACATGAGGCAAGTATATAGATATAGTCTACACTTTTTCCTAATGAAGCTATCACAACTTTTGCTTTCTATTTTTTTTAATAAAATAAAGTAACTTATAACACTTGTAACAGTTGGAATACTTTTCATAACCATATTTTATTTTGATGTTGACATTTATACCATTACGTTGTCAAATATTTAAAGAACAGATAATATGTCATAGAAATCAATAAACAGCTACTTACTTTCTGTGGGTGAATCTGAAATGGCAGTAATGTGACTAGTGAATTCTGAATATGCCAATGATGCATTCTGAAATCCTGTTTAAAATAACCAGTTCAGAGAGTGGATAATCCTTAAAAACAGCATCATGATATTGTTGATTATAAGATGGGTGGCTATATAAATGTTTTAAGTAAATAAAATAAAAACTAAAATAAATAGCAATAAAGTATCACAATCATAGGTTTTCATTCTAAATATAGTGTTCCCACTGATAGATAAGATAGTGAAATGAAAACAGAATTGAAGGAATGCAGAATTACTTTAATGTTCAAGGAAACCCAGAAGTACTATGAATTTTTAAATTATAGCAATTAAAATCAGAAAAGCATGATGGCTTTTTGGGAAACACTATATTACACAATAGTGTAACTTACTAGGACAAAATTAAAAATATTACATGTATTTATAAATTCATACCAAGTACCATTTGACCAGTGCTCAACATATGAGATACAGATAAAACAACTATATTTGGTTAAGTTTATCTTTAGCTGTATACAACCAAAAGAAGGGCAATTAAAGAAATTGTACATTATACTTGGAACCTAATTTGGAGTCAGGCTGAATTATAAGTAAAAGTCATCCAGACAGACTTTATTTAAAAATTGTCTAAAAGGACAACTGCTAATTTCCTTTGCCTTTTCTGAAACCCACCAGGTGAGCAAGGAAATTTATAATGCACTAGAATCATAAAAGTGACCTGCTCACATATTCAGTTGAACTCATGGAAAGTTCAAAAGGGCTTGAAAAGAGAAAGTGCACAATAGCACATCTGCTCTTTCTTCCCAATCTGTTTGCATTCAGGTGGAGACCTGAAGACAAGCTATAATGTATCTACAGTTATCCATGCAATTAAGAGAACCTGTTTTATGAGCCCCTGGACTGCGTGAAGATGTGAATTCAGAGTCAAGCCAATTACTTAATCATTCCCTTTTAGATTTCCAGCTATAAATATGAAAGTTAGGGAACCTGGGGACAAGTTTTGTGATTATCCAATTTAAAGTTTCCTTTTGTTCAAGTGAATTCCTCAACTACATTTGCATTCATTTAACACAGCACATACTGAGGCTATTCAACCTTTAGATCTTGCACAGTATGCTGGGATGAAATAATATCTATGAGCAAGGTCTTAAAGTGCATGACTGAGATTGCTGGTGACTGCAAAATTTATTCCAGTAAACTGTTGGTCTGTAGAGTTAAAACTTCCTCCAAATTCAGACTTCACTTGGATGCCAGCTCAATTAAAGAAAAATGTAGCTGCTGAATATGCAATTCCCTTAATGGGATGAAACACATGTACTATGCTTTCTATGAAGGCATGCATTTTTATTTGTTTCTGCAGATTTCACATGCCAAAAGTGTATTTGACTGAACATATATGCATGAGACAACATCTGGATTATAAATGGCCCCTAATTTCTCAAAGTGACTTACCATAAGTAATAAGTATTTCTTTAGATGAAAAATTCTTTCTGTCATTTCTAGTGAAGTGGTATGCAGACATGCATTTGAAGGTCTGATTAATCAATGGATGAGTTATATTCCATATTGACAAGAATGATGTCATCTCGTAAAAACTTCCTACACAGTTCATAACTTTATTTTTGATTAATAAACCTTTGGAAGAAAAAAATGATAAAAAGAACAGGTTTTCCCTTGTTCCTTCCTCTAGTAATTAAGTAAATAAGTTCCTGAAAGCAAATTGTAAAATGCTTAATTACGTAATCAAAACAATACATCATTTTTATTTGTAAAATGCCTTAACAAGTAGGAATTGCATTTGAAAATTACCAATATTTGGAAATTTATAATCCCCAAAGATATTACAGGAAGAAGGTGAGCAGAATATATATATATTCTACGAAATCTACAAAAACAGACTTGGTGGTTAATACAACTGCCTAACATGTAGACTGCCTAGGTTCGAATCCCATAAAGGGTGTGGCTAGCTGATGAGGACTAATGAGTCCGAAATAGCTATACTAGTTTCCCACTTAAATCTTTAACTCTTTGTCAGCAAAAAGAAATCTGAATTTGTAATGTATCGCAGTTGCGACTTGAGCCTGCTTAACCCCCCTAGTTGGGGGGCTGCAAGGCAATAGAGATTATAAAATAAGTAGAACTGCAGTATAGCAGTCAAAATGCCAAGGTGCAATCAATCAGACCGGTCTGTCTGAAAAACTTTCTGTATATACTCCCTTGACTCGGCTGACAAAGAGGGGAGGAGAGCCAGTGGCCTGGTGGTTAATACACTGCCTAGCATGTAGACTGCCCTAGTTCGAATCCCATAAAGGGTGTGGCTAGCTGATGAGGACAGATGAGTCCGAAATAGCTATACTAGTCTCCCACTTAAATCTTTAACTCTTGTCAGCAAAAAGAAATCTCAAAAAGAAAGCTTTTCAAGAGCTTTTGTATTACAGTATTCCCTGCCCCCCCCGATAACCATGCTGATTGGAAGAGATAACCGATAGAAGGGTTACAATTTTCCATCCTGTTCCTGAAGAATTTGATATCTACATTTAATAGTTGGGCATTTGTTTTAAACTAGTTACAGCAATTATTTTGCATTACCTTCAGATTTTTCATTCAGAATCTTTCCACCCATGTACCACATAAGTTTTGGCTTCGGATATGCCTTCTTTATCTCACATGTGAAATGTGCCTGAATAAAAATAAACAGAAATCAAATCAGCAGTTCAAAGAATCAGAACTGATTCTTTTCCTATTTACTTTAAAATTAAACTACTTATTCTATATTGCTTTTGGCTGAAAAGATTAGTATTTGACACTTTGGAAAATAACAGTATAACATCTCTTAAATTAAGAATATAAATGGTCCTCTATTCAAAGCACTGTTGGTTTAGCAGTCCTTTCTTCTATAGGGTTGCCAAGTTGTCTGCAATGGAGAAATATGACATTTAGAAAATGGCATTGTGCCCATACTTAGCAGAGGACAGAATGGTTCACTGATATTCATGTTGTGAATTGTAAAAACTTTTTGTAACACCTAATACATATATTTCATTGAAGCATAGAATTGGAAGAAATCACACAGATCATCCTAGGTGTAGCCTTTGCAATGTGCAAGAAAACCAACTGAAGGCTTCATGAAAGGTTGCTGTCCAGCCTCTTCGTTAAACACTCCAAAATGTGTCGAACTCATAGCCTCCACAGGTAGGTTATTTCCCTGTTTTACAGTTTTTACCTTTGAGAAAATTTTCCCTTAACTCGTTCAAACTTCAAGTTACAATAAGATATAGCCTTTATATATAATTTATATATATAGTTTATAGTTAAGTTGATTGTATATTAGAGTTACAGTAAGTTTATACTTGTTTATATTATGAATGGGTTGTTTGGGTTAAACTTGGATTATTATGTGATTATTCCTGTACTCAGCTCTGGGAAGTCCGGGGGGGGGAGGGGGGAAGGGGATTAGGGGATAGAAATTATAAAAATTGATGTATTTATATATTATAGGTAAATAATGGAATTGTATTGAAAAGAGGAGATGCTCGGCTGGTACCCCAAACTGCACTCGATGAGGTGGTTAAGAAGGTAGAGGAGATGTAGGGAGGTGGTAAGGAGGAAGGAGGAGAGGTTGTGGGTCTAGGGGGAGGAAGGAGAGGAAAGTGAATGAGGGTGGAGGCAAGGCAGGGACTGCCGAGCGTCTCCGAAAATGTATTGAGTAGGATTATCTTTTTTGCTTGTGTATGTAAATGCATCATATTGGTATTTGCTGTTCAATTACAAAAATTAATAAAAATTTTATATATATATATAAAAAAAGATATAGCCAACAACTACAGTTTTTTCCCCTATTTTACAAGTGGAGATGGCTTTCAAGATAAAGAGATTCAATATTTGTCTTTCAAATTGCAATTGTTTTCTCTACTTCCCCATCACTGTGGTCATCATCATCATCTTCACCACCACTACGCAGAGAGAGTTGAGAAAAAGCTCCATTGGTATCAGTGAGGCTCTTTTTTCCCTTAAGTTTTGCAACCACTTAAGAAGCTGATTATTGAAAAAAGAAAAGAAATCACAGGAGGGTGAATGAACATCTTTCTCCCATGTGTATGTGTGGGGCATTAAAATTCAGATGCTACTTCATCCGTAGTTCAAGCAATTAGCCCTCATATAGGATTAAAATAAGCTATTTAGGCTTTTTTGTTCATAAGGAAACAATTTATTATTTTTGCTTTGTATAGAGAGCTGAGTCAACTGATTTAAACAAATAGTATACAGAAGGAAATGGTGTCTCTGCTTTCACCTTTGTCTTAAGCTTGATTATCTGGGTTAATCCCCCTGATAAAGAACATCTCCTTTGAGCTGACTTCATGGTCACACCTCTTTGGTTAATTTGGGGTATTGTAACTAGTGTTGGTTTTGTTTGGTTTTCTTGATGTCTCAGTGGGCTTCCCACTTTATAGGATTTTGAGCTGTTTTATTGTTTTAAGGTTTTTTTAAAGAATATTTTTTAACCATTGCATAAGAGCTTTTATTGTAATTTTTAAATTGTTTATATCTAAGTCTTGGAGTTGCTTTTATCAATGAAAAGTAGTTTGTAATCCCAACAAATTTGGAAGGCTAGAATATTCTTTTCCTGTTCATTCCCATCCATCTGGTTACCTCCGCCTCCATTTCCCTTCTGAAGTTTATTTACCACGAACTATTCTGCTGTCATGACTGATGACAGTGTATAAGATTTTCAGACATACATAGATAATATATTAATGAAGAGTACAACTAGTTAGAATGACACAAAATTTTGCAGATATTGAATCTGACCACCTGTCCCATAATCACCTTGACTAAACCATGCAGCAGCGCATGTATAACCAAGCCACATAAATACCATATTTAAATAGTTCATAATAGGAAGGAAATGAAAAACATCACTGTGGTTCTGTCTGCCATGTGGTTTTGTTCTTGTGACAGAGCTTAAAATCACAAGATTCTAATTCTTTATCGCTTAGGTAAAGATGAAATATCAAGGAAATTATCACTGTAACAGACATACTTACTAAATCTGTGCAATATTTTGTTGAGGTATCTGAGGTGCAAAATATAGCTATTGGAACACAAAATACCTCCATTTTACATAATTAAATCCCTGTTGCTATAGAAACAATTACATTTATCTTCATGGATACTCAGGTTCTTCATAAAGACAATGGTTAAGAGGAAAGTGAGAAAAGAATAACAGTTTATGAATCCCAAACTTTCATTGGATACTAAAGCGGCATTTAAAATATCAGTTTCTGTGCTGGAGCACAGCTAACTCTGGAGAATTATTTTATAGATGCTTAGTTCAGAATTCTGTAAAGAAGAATTTAGAGGTAAATTAGAAAGGGTTCTTATCAGCCCAGTTCTATCAGAAATACAACACAACTCCCAAGAATATACCATTATTCCAATTACCGATAGCATTTTAAGTCTGCCTTAGGAAGCTAGCAAGCAAGCAAGCAAAGAAATAATTTTCCACTATTGTGGGAAACTATGGGAACTATATGTTTTCTCACAATTATTCAAATTGAGAAAATATTTACTAAATATATAGATGGCCATTTAAAGAGGCTGTTTTCAGATGGGAAGAGAAACATATACAAGGAGGCTTTGTAACCACCAGAATGGACTCCTATTTTTCCTTTTAGGGCACAGTCAGAGGGAGCACATTTATTTCTTCCTGTTTTCTTTTCTCAGCCAAGTACAAACTCTTGACTTTTCTAGAGCATCTTAAGATTTCTTCCAGTGGAAGAAACTGTTGAGAAATTAGAGGGCAAGTTTCAGAAAAACGTGCAAAAAGTATTTTGCAAAATGTTCAAATGCTCAATTTATTTGTAAAGCGGTTTAAAACTTTTAAAACTGATTTTTGCTCCTTTCAAGGTGTAATACAAAATAGCACAAACATTTACATAAATTAACTCACCTCTCCTTTGGAAACTGTCTGGAGCACAATAGAGATTTCTGGTTTTGCTGCAGCACCAATAAAAAAAAAAAGACAAATGTTTCAATTAATTATACATGACCTTCTATACAACAAACATTAGTTTATTTTATAGTTGAAAATATCAATCTGTGTTCAAAATAATAGGACATAGATAGACATAGATGTTTCTATTTTTTCCTTCTTTCTCTAAATTCCCAGGTGTACCATAATACTCTATTTGCCTAAAACCAATGGCTTTTAATTCTTCTTGCTATATCTTTAATTTTTTTAGCTAAACCTGTGCAATCATTGTTCATAAAAACACAGCTAAGCTTGATTTGGCTAAAGGCTCAGCTCCATTTGTTAGTAGTGATTTATATTATTAACCTTTATTTTCAATTTGTATGAGCTAATTGAATTCATTCTGGAAGTTGATTGAAGAATTGTTAGGAAATAATCAAAATATTCTACTTCCTAGCCTTTTCTGTCTATGAATAAATTACTTTTCTCTTCAAAAAAACCTATTGCATCTGTATTTACTAAGTAAATTAATCAAGATACACTGTTGTCAAGATCAAATTCTTCAAGATGTGTATCAAATGTGGAAACATAGTATTCAAATAATGGCTAATAGAAAACAAAAAGAAGTAACAGCGCCAATACAAATCAACATAAAGTTCTTAATCACCATGAGAATAAAATCAGAGATGGATAATAATATTAAATATTATAGAACACAAATAATATGCCTCCTCTGGCTCATGACAGCTTTTTAGATAAAGGAAGACGACTATAATGTTTATTATTCATTTTGTTTTATTACAAGTTAATAATGCCCTAATCCTTTTTCAACTGTTCCTCATAGGGCTTGATTTCCAAATCTCTTAATATATTGGTAGTTTTCTTCTGAACTCATTTCAGCTTTTGCCCAGAACTGGACACAATAATCCAATTGTAGTCTAACCTATTGAAGTCCTAGATTAGTTAGCAGCAATTAGTACCCTAGGGGAAAAGTGCAATCTTTCAAACCTCAACACCAGGATTGACTTTTTCTTTTCACTTAAAAGCTGACATCTTGTTTAACTTGGGGACATGAAGAGTAGAATTGAACTGTACAAAATCTGGATGTACTGCTTCCATTAATACAACCCAAGATTACATTAGGCTGTTTAGCAAAGACATCACACTGCTAGCTCATATAAGCTAGCAGTCCATATTTATTATATGCACTGCCACCAAATGAGTTTTCATGTTCTTGAACCTATGTACATTTTTTTATACTTGTGATTCAAAAAACCTACATCTATTATTGGGCCAAATCTAACATAATCCTATGGCATTTGATCCAGTATTCAAGCTTTTGAAAATCATTTGAATTGTGATTTTGTTTTTAAGTTATTAGCCAGTATCCCTAGCTTGGAGTCATCTGCAGATTTGATAAACAGCTTTTTTTATCCCATCTTCCAGATGATTTTTAAAGATGTTGAACACCATTGGGCTTAGGATGAAGCCCTAAAAAACAAATTAAATTGAATTGATAAATTAAATCTTTAATTTTATACCCAACATATTTTTTGTTTTGCTTTTATGTTTAAAAATTCATTATTTTGTCACTGGGAATAAAGTCGTTTATGACAACTGAAAATCTCTAGAAGCAGACAAAATAGTTCAAACTCCTTTTATATACAGTATGCATAAAAGCTGAAGTGGGCCTATGCTTTCTGGCCCTTCACTAAGCAGTTGCTCCCTGGCCTGGCTACAACAGTCTTGTGTGGAACATAAACACATGTATAAACACTTTGCTACAGATCTATACATTTCATATAATCAATTGCCACTTAAAAAAAAGAACTTATTAGTAAAAGGAGAAGATTGGTCCATCTAGAGAAGGCATCAAGGATTTTATGGAGTAAAATGAGTACTTTAAGGTCTTGCTTGAGGCATCCATTTTACCTTTAAAACTCTAATAACTCCCCCTCCCCCCAATGGATAGAAAATGTTGGATGCTTGGTGGAAATTCTAGGAGTCTTAAAAATGCTGGAGGAAGGTCATAGGTGGTGCATAGGTCACAACCTGTGCATCTATACCTTATGCTATGACAAAACATGCATGTGTAGGCTAGAATCCCAATTATGAAGACTTTCAGAAAAGATGCCATTATGTCTCATAGAAGAAGCCTAACAGATGGATATGTAGGGCAGTGGTCTTAGGTGATTACATGACCTCATTAGTAAGAGACAGGCTGTGCTCTGCTACCAATTTGTGGCACAGAAGTTCCTTTGTACAAAATAGAAACATGTTAAATACTGTTACTTAAGAAAACAAGCATTTAAGAAAATCAATTTTAGAAAGTAACGTTTGAAAAAAACCAGTGTCGATTAAGTTTTTAACCTATTACAGTAGCTCCTCCTCACCAAATATTTTCACTTGAGTGACACTTTCCTGAATTCTTCCGGAGACAGCAGCAATTGAACAGACAAACTTCTTGCCATCATCAATAACTGTCACTGGAGAAATCAATAATGCGTTTTTGGAACTCATTTGGATTCTGTCCTTGTACACAGTGAGATTATTGGCTGTATAGCCTTGAAGGTAATAGGACTGTTTCTTGATTAGGATCTTTTCAGTTCCATTTTCTTTCTGCTAGAAATGGAAAATATGTCAACAATGCATTGCCATGAAAAAGCATGAATTATCATTAATTCTTTCTTTTTAATGTAATAGAAGATGCTGATATAATAGCAATTGTACAACTGGAATAGGTGAATTTCCTATAAGAAGAGCTACTAGCTATTTGGTAGCTATTTTTCTTTCCCGTCATCTATATTTCATAATCTATCTCAAGAACAGTCCTTTTCTGTTATAAATTTCAGTTTAGGACATATCTCTTTTGTTACCTAATTCTGATAGAAAATAGACCTGGGACTGCAGAATGAAAAAAGGAAACATTTTTTTTTTAATATCTTCTTCTCAGCAGCAATTATACAGAAGGTTTAGTTATAAATAGAAATAAAATAGCGATATTCTCTAATAAAAGTACTGAATCTTTGACTAAAGGAATGGAGAAATATTTTTTTTCTTGAGAACCTTAAGTTATGTGCATTTTTCTGTATCTCAGTGTGAGTCTCTCTGTGTGCATGCCCACAAACCCAAAGACCACACAAACATGCAATAAGTCAGTGATGATCTAACAGTTTCCAAAATCTCAAGCTCAGAAGCTGTAGAGGCCAAAGTGATGACTAATATTAATACTTGGCCCCCAATTAAAAAGTTCCCAGACATATTTTGAACTACTAAAGTTTTAAAAGTTCAAAGGCTCAGCCAATCTCATTGTATACATATTGTACTTTGATAATAAAGGTTCATTCATACAAAGGACAAATCAGATCTAAAGACAGAATGATCTGATTCAACAGTTTCTTGTAAATATTAAAACTGTATTGGGATAAAGTGAAAATTTGCAGAACTTCAATGCAAGAATAAAATATTCTAGGGTTTCCACCCAAAAATGCTTACTCAGGAAAGACATAAATGATAGAATTGCCAGCTCATGCATAAGGTTATCTGGAGCAGGTTGGGAACTATTGTGTCAACAGTATCTAAGTAACAAGTATGACCAGAGTAACTGAAGCTCCATCCATTTTTATGTAAATATGATGCATGTTTGATGCACATTAAAACAAAGGATGGGACTTCATTGGCTAGATTCACCTGTTCTTTTGAACCTGTTGACTCTCCCCTTTTGGATGACCAGTTTATGGCAGTGGTATGATTATAAGCTAGTAAGAATGGAGCTGGACTTTTGGGGCCCTTTAAATAATTGGGAGGGTTAAAAAAAAACTAAAAACAAAGCAGGTTCAATGAAGAAGTTTATATAAATTTGGATATCTCAAAATAAAAATCTATTAGGAACAGCCATATCTGTACAGCACTAATATGCATGCTAGATAATTTATATAAAATATTTTCAGTAAACATATTTAGTGCTGCCAAGACAAATAACTGCAGTTTAGAATTACAGTTACTTGAATATGAGATGCTTGGGTTCGTATCATACATCTCCTAAACATGGATAATCTAGGAAGACACATGAAATCCTCAAGATTGCAGACTTCCAAAGTCACAGCCTTCAACTTAGGAGCAAACTAAGTTTTAATGATAATTTTCCAGCCACTTTAAAAAAGCAAAATAACAAACAAGATATATTCTGACAGGCTCAGTGATGCTGCTTTGGTCTTAGGTCTTTTCCTACCCTTATTTTAATTGAAAAAAGGTTACTTACCAATGACCATGTTACAGAAGCATTTGTCAGGTTTATATAATGAGGCATACTGTTCATGCACGGAATTTCAAGGGACTGGTTGAGTAAAGCTTGTAACACAGAATTCTTGTATTCTTTTATCAAGAAGAAAAAATGTAAAATAAAAAGAAGAATATATAGAAAATATCAATGTACAATGCATGTAAAATTCTGCAAGTTCTATTGTTTAGTACATTCATCCTCATTGTGAATATAAAAGAATAGTTGTCCAAAATAAGAATAGACCTCTTTTGTTAGATAGAAAACAGTTCACAGACAGTTAACTATAAGAAGTCAGTGATTTCTTGATATTTCAAGATTTAAAATGTTTTGCTTAGAACAAAAACTTTAATTTTGTAGCTCCTTCATCTGCTACAGCCAAGAGGAGGTAAACCAAACTTATTTTAGGCTTGTAAACATATTTTGTAGATTTGTGCACACAATGAAACAGATAAATGAAAACAGAAAGTCTTCTTTAAGAAGGTAGAGTTTATTAAACAGCATTAGAACACAAAACATTGTTCAGACATTATACTTACAGTAACTCTAATTTAGTCTAGTTAGTGCTATAGGAATGAACTTGTGCAATGTCAAAAATCCCTTTTCTTCCTCTAATATAGTTGTAAAATTATCAGAAATATTTGCTTCCAGTTTTATGGTTTGTGTCATTAGTACACACACTATTTCAAAAGTTTCCATCCAATTGGCAGTTAAAGAAATTAAATAGAAAGAAAATTTCTTCAGTAGTGTATCAAGAGTAGGATTTCCCTTGGGACTGAATAGGAAGTTCAGAGGGCTGCATACATCTAAAAGGGAGAACATTCTTGAACAAAATACAGGAATTTCAAAGCTAATTCTCTTTCATTAAATTGTATTAGAAACAGATGATTAAAAAAAAAACAAATTAGAGAATTTCTATGCTTGAGACTAATATCTAAAAATTACTGAAGCTTGTTCCAGCTTCTGTGTTAAACTAGTTTGGAAGCAAAATAAGGTTAATATCTATAAAGAAACCTCATGACAACCAAACATTAGTAAACATTCCAGGCAGACAAATTGAAAAGAATGATGACCACTGGATTAAATTAAAGTTAGGAAGCACTTGGTTAAATTACTCAATACTTAAGAAAACCTTGCGTTTTCACAATGGCATATAAATCTTTTATTGTCTTTCCCTGTTTTTATTTGTTGTTGATCTTATGGTAATGCTTTCCCTCTTTACTTTCAGCCAGTTATCACTCACCTAAAGATCTGGGGATGGATATTAAATCCAGGTAGTCCTTGACTTACAACCATTCATTTAGGAACTGTTTGAAGTTACTACAGCACTGAAAATAGTGTATTATGACCACTTTTCAAACTTATGACCATTGCAGCATTGATACATTAAGAAATGAGGCAGGATTTTGATCCCATCTCACAGCTGATCAGACAACAAAAAAGCAGAAAAATGTATTGGACTACTTACCAATTCCACTAGAATCTTTGCCCATTAGTGGCATCAGCTTGATGTTCTTTTTTATAATATATCAAGCTGTTTCTGGCAATCATAGTATTAGGTGTAGATATTACAAACAAAATTATATTTATCAATTCTTTTTTCTAAATGAATGCCTATGATAGCATAGTCCTGGCTACTAGCATAAGAAACAGACTTCTCATAAACTGGGCAGCATGAAAGGAAATAGAATAAACAGACTAAAAACTGGTACATCAGATGAGAGCAGATGGTCATCTTAGACTGCATAAATAACAGCACACTATCAATAACTTAAAGCAGCAATTAAAATGAACAACTATAGAACCCATTAAGATATTAACAACTACCATCAAAACTGGTGCACAAAAACAAGCTGAAATAAAGAAAAACAAAACTGTAAACCAAATTTTTGAAGCTAGTCCAAATAGGAAAAGATGAAGCTGAACTAGAATGGGAAGTAAATATCTCCAGCCATCCTTTAACTACTTCAGAACAGAATATTATCCAGCAAGGACTAAATTATAACACAGAGAATGCCAACCACCAGATTTTTTTGAATACTTACAGCATCACTCAAAATGACTGGACCAATTGATGAGAAGCAAGAAAATGTATTATACCCCTGGTCAAGTGGACATAGACTCATCAGGGTAGAAGAAAGAGTGATCCTAAAAACATTAAAAACTAACCAAACTATCTCAATACTTGTAATAAATTATGCACACAATTAACATTGATAGAACATAATGCATCCAAAAAGAAAAAGAAAAATGACAGAGAAACCTATCATCTCGTAAACACAAGCCCAGTGAAAAAACTGAACAACCAATTCTAGAAAACCCACAACAATATCAAATAAAGGACCTATCGCAAAAGAATAATGTTGTATGAAAACAACTGGCCCCAGTTTGTCTTGAGGTCCCCCCCTCCTCATTTATAGCATTTTCTCTATAGTTTCTGCATAAGAATCATTTCCCATCCTTGTCAATACTTATCAACTTATATCATTTGCAACAAAGTAATTGTAACACAAACACATACAACCAATAACACCATAAAAATAAAAAGAGTAGAGCTTGAAATTTTTTAGTATCCAAGTGTTGCATCTACTGAAAGTATGCCCATGATATCAAGTGAGTTTTTAAGGAAAATGAAAAACGGTAGTAACGACAATATAAAAAATAAAAATGCTGATAATAAATTGATAATCTGACTTGTATAATGACAGCTCTGAGGGCCACATACAGATTTCCCCCCTCAATTTAGGTTACATTACATTACTTTTTTGTATATTTTTCATTAAAATAATCTATTACTGTACTTACCTCTTTTCTTAACAAAAAGGTGTATTTTTGAGCTACTTGTTCCAGATGGAAATGTGGTAAAGATACATTCATAGGAGCCAGAGAGCTCAAATGTGACATTCTTCAGTTGTAGAATCCACTGATTGCATTCTAGGTTGTTTGCTACAGAATTAACCTGTTTGGAAGTCCTGCTGAAGTCAGTCAAACAATCATGGAAACCTTTCTCAAAACTTGCTGAATTGTTGTAGGTCGCTTCAGAATATTTTGTACCATAGAGAGGGTTATATACAGCTATTATTCTTGAAAGACCATCAGCAAACTTAGACCACTGAATCTGTGTCACATGGGTTTCTTTTCCTTGCAAGATGCTGCATTTTAGAGTCACACTGCTACCAGCCAAAGCACAGACAGTTTTTTCATTTGTAATTATAAGTGCAGTACATCCTACAAATAAATATAGTGGGCATAGTATCACAGTCATGTATAATAGTCGTTATATTAACTTAGCCTTCTTCTGTTTGATGCTGTCATTAAAAATGCTCCAATTTCTTATATTTATGATTTATAATTTAAAACAGTTATAAATAAACATCATTTAATATTTATATTATTTATAAGTTAGTATATTAAAGATTTTGACTCTGTACAGAGAAAATAACTTTAAATGACAATGCCCCAAAGTCACCCAGTTACCATGTAAAAGAGTGATTAAAACCTGGGTCACCTTACTGCTAATCTAGAGCAGGGGTATCAAACTGCCGGCCCATGGGCCGGATGTGTCATGCAGAAGCCGCGCCCACCCCATTGCCGGCAATGGCAAAACTGTCCCGATATGTTGCACGTGACATCGTGAGTTTGACATGTCTGATCTAGAGCCTTAGCCACCCCACATTATCAAGGATTGCACTGCTAATAATGGATGGAAATCTGACAAAAACTAAATTAAATTTAAATATTTAAATGCAATTCATTGAAATCCTCCTTCCCCTTCCACCTCTATCACATTAGACTTTAAATCTGATGGCAAACCGTGCAGGCCCTCTGAAGTCACAACCATGTTTTTGAAAAAGCTTGCATGCAGCCCTAGAATAATAGGATTCTCATTCTTTTTTTTTTTTAATGCCACCATTGTTATTTGTATAAATAGCTCGATGCAGTTACCTAATACTTCTTCCTCCTCTTATTTTTGCCACAACAACAATCCGGCGAGGTGGGTTGGACTGAAAAAGAATCAGTGGCTGAAAGACATCTAGCCCACCTTCAGCCTAAAGCAAAACTAGAACTTACAGTCTTCTGGCTTCTAGTCTGGTCTCTTTTAATTAAACCAAACTGGCCTTGTACTCTTAATATAAAATTCTGTTTTATCCTGAGCGCTAACATGATGGGACTGAACTTTGAAAATTTAAACAAGCAGGTGTAAACAAGCAGGTCTAAATAAAAAGATATAAAAAGAGCAGTATAAAGAGGCCTGGAAATTCAAAGAATGATGTATTTTGTTATCATCTTAGTTTTAGGAAGCTGCTCTATTTTTGACCAAGCTTGGCACAGGCAATTCTTCCTTGTAAGTATCTTTGGTTCATATGGAGGATTAAAATGCAACACACAGGGCATTAAGAATAAATATTTTAATAGGTAATTTTTATTAATAGCCTTTTTATCTTAAAAATCTGTCACCACTCTTTGTACTTTCTGTTTCAAGTTGGGAGTGTTCTATTATCAGGCCAAAGTTGTTAAGGCTGGCTGGCTGACTGGTCTGTATTTAGGCTAATATCCTATATAGAGAATTATCTGGTTACACTACCTGCTTGTCTTCTCATGCACGAGCAGGGGATAAAATCAGACTGTTAATATCAAAAACATTTTTCTTGCATTGATTTAGGTCATATCCCAGGATGATCTCCTGTTGATGCTTGATTAAACTGCATTGTGGGAAGGAGACATCAAGTAAGCTTCACTACAATAATGCACTTAACTCAGATGGACAATTCACATTCTTATTTGAAAGACACTTTCTCTAACATTTAGGACAAAAGCTACTTTGATAGGTGCACCAAAAATAACAAAAAATTCAGTAAATACTCTCCAGGGTCAAGCTTGATTCCTGATGACTTCCTGAGCTTCTCCACGTAGCTTTTTTTTTTAGTTCAGAAGTAGTTTTGCCTTTGTTTCCTAGGGGGGTATATATTTTTTCCTTTTCTTCCAAACCCTTTTGGATTTCCTAGACAAACCTACAGAAGGGATTTTCTGATTGTCCCTTCAGGGTACTCCCCAGGTCTAACTTTGCTTAGCTTATTTGGTTATCCACTTTTTGAAAGAAAAATCTTCATCAGGGTCCAGTCCAAGCCGGGAATAAACAAAATGGAGACTGCTTTAGAAAAAAGGTTGTAGTTTATTGAAGAGCAGAGCCAGACAGAAATGTGGCTCTGGGAACACTGACCACATGTGGTGGGTTTTTATACCTTCTTGGGCTTTTGTGTTTGAGGTTGTTTCCTGTTCCTCTGGCATGAACTTTGACCTGAGCTTTTGAGCATGTCCTTTGGTATTCTGATGATGGTGGGTTAATCCTATATGTCCTAAAGGTCATGTCTTTAGAGTTTGGGTGGGGTATATAGATTTTAGGGGTCTTTGTCTTTCTAATCTCATCAGCTCCAAGCTTCCTGGCCCCAACCTTTCTGAATAGGATTATCAAATCTGAGTTTCTACAGAGCTGGCCTCTGCCTGGGAGAGAGGGCTGTGGCTGGTTTCTGGGGGCTGGTTTCTGTCTTTTAAGATTTTCATTCTCCATTACTGTATTCCTTTGGGAAATATAATATTCTGCTTTTTAATATTCCCCAAAATATTTCTTTCTCTGGGGGGAGTGTGCTGTCCTCCTACACACTAATGAGCTGATAATGATTTCATTCTTTAATTAAGAACATTTTAATTTAATCCCATAGTACCAACAAACTTTTAATCCTACAGTTTTTAGAAAATTCATAATTGAACTAAGCTAGTTTGGTTCTTAGAAGAACCAAGATCCAGCAATTAGAGCCAGAAAATATAATTTTGTATTTAAACAGAAACAATAATCGTGTATACTACCTTGTGCTCTAACAAGGAACTGAAAAAACAATTTCATACACCAGATATCATCATTTTATGGAAAGAACTTACCATTGAGGACACATGCTAGGATGAGTAAATAAAACACCTGAAATCCCATCTTCCGATTGTATGAAAAATAAATACTGTTAATAACAGTCTGTCTCAGTATTCAACAACGGATAGCTTCATTCCTTCAACAGTGAGTATGCTTTTCATACTTTCTTTTTCGCAGGTTTGAGAAGAAACATACTTACAGGAAATGAAACCACCCACTGAGGGTGTTTTAAAAATGTAAATGCATTCTGCCTTTTAAAAAAAGAATAAATAAAACCTCATGCTATATTAACTTGTCCTACTGCCCAAATATTATTGACATGCCAAGTTTAGGATTTCAGTTTTCAGTGAAACATTCCATAGCAACTAATGACAATTGACAGTAGAATTTAAAGCTCATTGAAAAACATGTAGACTGATTAGTGATATAATATGCATGATAACAATGGGTGTTTGATCATTATTGGTGCTCCTTCCCTCATCCTTCCTTTCTATGCTAGAAATTCAGCATGAGGTACCTGACTCTACAGTGAGATCTAGACTAGACAACTCTGGGTAGATGAATTTGACTATTCATAGCAGTACTTAAATCAAGAAAAACTTTACCAGGAAACTATAACAAAGTCCACTTCCTTAGAGAGTTTTATTTATCAGTTTAGTGTACAAAAATGATTATTAGGGATTCTTTACTCTTTACATGGATCTTTTTTTGTGGATCAGAGGTAATATAATACCTGAACAAAAACAAAACCAACAAAATATTCGGCCATTGGTGAAACTGAATTACATAGATTTGGGGCCAAATCTGGAAAAAACTCTTTCGTTTTTATGACGTTGAAAGAAAGTTGACATAGCACATGTGAAGTGCTTTAAACAATCTAAAACCTTATTTTAAAAAACTTAGAATTACAATTTTTCTGGAATAGGGAATCTCTGACCTATTTTAAATCATTAGCTCTTATATTACAGGGTATTAATTTTGTGACACAATTGTCTGTTTTCTGTATTGCTTTCTTCAGATCTCCTCCCCTTATCCCTTCTCTCTTATCTGGAGGAGAGCAAGAAGTCAGCATATACCCTATCTACATGATTCACTAGAAAAATAGCTTCATCACAGTTGTATTGATCCTATAGCTATTCATTACAATTGAACATGACAGCACACACACAACATGATATATGCTATGAGCACAAGTGGTTTGATCTATCAGTCTCAGTAGTTCGGAGGTCATAAGTTCCTATCCTCAGAGAGGCAAGCAGAAAACCATTATTCTTCTCCATTGGCTTTGAGTGGACCTATATGCTGACACTTGTCATACCACTGGGAATTTACAAGTCAGTGAAGATAAGATAAGAATAATTTATCTTGCTTAAGCTACGACACACAGGATAAGTAATTATTTAGATGTGAGATAAAAGAAATCAGCAAAGGGGAATTTTGCAAAATACATTTTGGATTGCCAGTATTATCTTTTTGAGGGATTCTTGATGCTCTCTGAACTTGGTTGTGGGTTTTTTTTGCAGATGTTTCATTACCCAAACTAGGTAACAACCTCAGTGCTAGTGATTATCTTTTTGCACTAATGCTTCTTTGCAACTTTGAAAGTGTAGCAGTATCGGCCACGTAAGAGAGAATACAGATTTTGTGTTTATTTCCTCCCTTTCCTTACGATCTTGCAAAATCTATGCAAATCTAAGTTCCAAAAGATCTTTTTATTGTCACTTTCTTATAAATGCTGAATTCATGATCAGTGAAACAAGAGTTTGTTTATGTGTTTCCATGTAATGGAATAAAGGATGTAATAAGGAATAGACCTAGTTCCCAGAACACCTGGGTGTTTCTGATGTCCAGAACATCACATTCCTCCACCCCCTTATTTTCTTTTGACTTGTCAAAGATGGAGGTTTTTGTGGTTTTCTTAGTTTATGTCTCCTTCCTAAAAATAGTTTTGTTTTCATTTCCATCCAAACTCTATTTTATCCCTCCTACACTAGCTGACATTTCATGTATGTACTTCGGATTTAAGGATGGCTACGAGCAAAGACAAGCCATCTCTTATTTCCTGCATTCTGCAAGTAACCTTAAGAATGTTAACATTTTCTGGCATGGATTAGTTTTCCTAATCTGTCTAATTAGAAAGACTTCACAATCAGAGTTTACTTCCATATTACTTCTGCAGATTTAGGGAGTGAAAATGGAATTGATATGGAAGTACTCTGTGAAAGAATGATCCAGTAATTATTCAGTTTATATTTGCATTATCTCCACTAACTATAAATTATCTGGACAGTCAGTAGGCTCCTACAGTGGGTCCTGTCCAACCATCAATTCATCACTTAAGT